GCTGTACATGGATTTCAGAAAAATTCATATAGAATTTATTAGGCATCTAAGATCCAGCCGTGACCGTAAAGGCGCTCTCGAAGTTAGTTGTGTTATTCACTTAGGCGGTCTTATTCAAATAATTATTATATTATTTTACTATATTTTACATTGAAATTAATGTTTCGTTACGTTCAAATATACAATATAACACTATACATGTTTCTTTCTTTTCGTAGAAAACGGAATTTAATTCTTCTTATCTTACGTGAATTAAAATTTATAATGAAGAAGAATACGCAATTTTTAGAAGACTTAGGTGTTTTTTTTTTGTTTTTTAAAAGATTGCGAAATGTCTCGCTTTATGAGCACTGAAAGTCTCATAGCATTTGCACCGCAGTCGAATTTCAACTTCTTGCCCATACAGGCTCTACACCCTGAATCGCTTTATTTTCTACAACAATGGGCGCACAATAAACCGGTATATTACACAGCTCGGTACACATACCTCTGCGGAATAAAAAAAGGAGAATCACTCCCTCCGCATTACGCCGAGTTACGGGATACAATGGGGTCCCCAAAGCATAAAACTGGTCGAGAATGTTCGGGCTTTTGTACCGGCGGTATAACTCAAGTGTCATGCCATTATTTAACCATAGATACGACGGGTCTTTGCATTCTCCTGTGTGTCCGCTCACCGCGAAGACCCGCTGTGCCCGACTAACGTAAAAGTTAATTGAAAAACAGGAAATTAAATTTTCGCAATTCCCAGTTGTGCGAGTCACGGCTTCTCGAATAATAGGAGCCACATCGGCTGGTCCTTTGCAACGACTCTCTCTATAAATTATCGGCTTGCTTAATCATTCTTCGTCTGATCTACTGGATATGTTTGGGATGAATTTACGTCTCGTTGTCTCTACACGCGACGATGCGGATCACGTACTCAAAACAAATTTGTTCGGAAAATGGCTGCAAAATGTCGTGTGCATTAAGGATTGGTTTAATCACTCACATTTTTAACTACGCGGCTGATTCATTGTCGAGAATGACGTTTACCGCATGAATTATTATATGCTTTTTCGTGAAAAGTTTTTCTTCTCCCGAAAAGTCTAACTTTAATTTAATTCTTTGAGTTTGGCATTCGACGACATGGCTGGTAGCACGAAAGCGAAGACGTTAGATCGATGCGCGAACCGACGACTTCATTTTGGAAATAAGAAAACTTTTCTCTTGCGTCCCTCATCCTGCAAGCAATGTCAGATGGTGAATTTCATTATCGACAGAACCAGATATCTCTACATTAAAATCGTTCCAGGCGAGACATATCTGACGAAGCTTGCAGTGTTGATTAGATATGACTTGATGCTGTCCAATATCGCTGAAATTTTTCGTTTCTCTTTATCTCTCTATGCAGTGTGTTATTTTTTTGTAACTTTTTTGTAAACTATGTTTGTCATATACAACGTCTATGTGACACTTCCTCTTTCTTTACAGGTTGTTCTTGTGTTGTATACAGCAGCTCGGACAGACCTCAAGGTGGCACTTTTACATCTCCTGATTTTCCCAAACGATACCCACCGTATATCGATTGCCTTCTGTACACATTTATTGGTCATCCAGATGAAATTGTTGTTCTAACGTTTCATCAATTCAACATTCGTCGTACCTGGCCTGAGTAAGTAATCCATATCTGAAAAGTGAACATTTAAAACTTATTATTTATTTTGAAATCATATATCATCATCAAACTAAAAATAAAACTCATTACATTACGTTACGATGAAACACAATACGTAATATTAATTTCTATTTGTTGGACATATATTGAAAAATTATTACATTAAAACATTTTAAATTTGCGCATGTTAGATTTCTCTATCGAGTAATATGAAGTAAATATCAATTTTTAAATGTTGCTCCTGTTCTTTAATTACATTATCTTAGCAACATAATCATAACGCGATGTAAATTTTATATATACTCATAGTTTTTAGTCTTTATATTTCGTGTATAATATCAAGCATTTATTTCGTAAATTAGATAGACTATTTCGCTATGCTCAGCACTGGCAGACAGCATTATGTTAACAGATAAATTATCCATGTACAGCGATTTGTCATGTACCTAATTCAGGCCTTCCGTTGTCCGGCAGAGTCTATTCGTGGTTGTCTGCCGCCAATGGAATGCAGCCATGTTCCATATGTTAAATTATACCAATATAATTGCGTGAATATAAACATATACATTAAAGGTGCAAGAAAGTGTGTGAGAATTTTTAGCGTTGCGTACTACAATCAATGGACTGAATGTCATTGATTTTTATTTGCCAACGATTAGAATTAAGAACGTGTCTAGCAAACGTAATTTGTAATGACGATCCGTTTTATTAATTATTTCATCAAAATTATTACGAACATTCACTTACTCCTGTAATTTAGCCAATAATACGATCCGTTATCGGTTTTTATTTCAATAAATTACGTAGATTACACTTGTGATATTTTCTTCGGAAAATTGTACTCATTCTCGAGGGAATTCCAAGTGAAATATCTTTGCGCAGGATCGTTCACTAAAATTCAAGGCTCGAGAGTGCAGAGATCTTTGAAACATAGTAATACGATTTTAAGATCGTACTATAACCGGCGGAAAGTAAGAGTTTTTTTTTCAACGATCGTCCGCTTCATTAATTTCGTATTAGCTGCGATTAAATTCTTAATGTATTGGCCGCCGATTAGTTCCTCTCCAAGAGTTGGCCCTCTGGCCTTATAATCTATATCTAATAAAGATATTTTTTAACAAATCCGAGCAAAATCGATATGAAGTGTTATGTTAACGTTTATTTAAATTGTTGGGCGGTTGATTATTTAAGAATAACTGCTGACAAAGTTCATGAGGGAATTAAAGTCAGCTTCTTTCAATATTTTACGTTCCAATAGTTTTACGAAAACACTTAGAAATTTGTGACGTAATGACCATTTCGTGAAATTGAATTCGAGATGCGATTCGTCCCAAGGTGAGGGCGGAGCGAGAAACGAGTACGGTGACTTATGGCACAAGTCCCGGTAGTGCTTGAGCAAGGTAGAGGGTAGTAGCCAATTTGTAGCGCGTTACGTACTTGTGTTACCTAGGGGAAAGTGCAATGGTGGTGCACGTGTAAATCGTGCATTGCTAGAGTGGCTTGACAAAACTTGCAAACTGTTTCCCGTAACCTGTAAGAGAAAGTTAACGTAAATAGAATTTAATGTGCAAGATTCTTTTCTTCATGACGACAAACTTTGTATTAGTTCGAACCACGTGCATACATTCGGAAACTATATGACATCGTGTAATAATGACCACGAGTATTTGCAGAAGCCGTAATAGCGCAATAGCGAAGGAAAATATAGGAAATTAGAGACGGCGGGTTGACGTTCTCCGAAACGGCTAAATACGCTTTAAATCTAGCTTTACTTTAATAATCTATGTACATTCGTCGGGGATTTCTCGTGCTTCTGCGTTCTCGCAGAATTTACGTTGCGCCTGAATGCAGTGTTTTAGGATCCAAAACGAGCGTAAGTCCGTTGCAGCAAGACGTTTACTTCACCTGTACCACAATTTATTGTAGGTAGGAATTTAACGTAGAATCCTTAGCAAAAACGAAGGTCGAGGACGTAAAATATATTTTAATGTGGATTATATTTATATATTAAACATTACGGAAATAATTTTGAGTATATTATTTTTTTATGATTCAGATTTTTGTGATGTATTGAACGTTCTCTTTTTAAGTAGGTATATGTATATTCAAACATTTTATCATTTTATATTTAAAACTAACATTGATAGTATAATTTTATGCGCATATTTTGTTTTAAATAGAAGTACTTAATTTGATTAAAAAAATATTTTGTATAGTCGCGGACGTGTGTACCTAATCTAAGGCGTCTTGCTTCGAGTAAACTTGAAGCTCGTTCGCTTATATTCGCCGCGCGCCGCGCATCAAGTCCCACGGCAACGTGCGCGAGTGAAGGTATAGGTACCCTCTTCCACTTCCGTTGCATCACACAGCGGGCTGTGGCGTGCCTGATTGCACGACGGTCGCGCGCGGCGTGTTCCCTTGACACTCGCCCGCAGTACCTGCCAGCTCGATTGCAGCTGTAACGTGGGATGCGCCGGGACAACAGCGTTCCCCAGGCCGCGACACCGTTTCGCTACGATGTACATTCCGCTGCGCCAACCCCTTTCGCGTTACCCCTTTCGGTTATATCGATACTCATGTTGCGCGTCATTCCCGGCGTTTGGAGAACCGAAATTCAACGTGCGATTTCTCGACAGTTAATGGAATCGATTTGAACGCACGCGTTCACTAAACTTTGAAATGAGCGATCGCGTTCAAGATGCGTCGCACGTTAAGGTTTGCCGATTGGTTATATAGGGTAGCTTAGCACGCGCGCGGTGGGTCAGTGAAGTTATGCGGAAACGAGAAGAGTAGCGGAGGAACGTGCGGGGACGGGTTGCGAGTTCAGGAAGGAGGAAGTTACGACGACGGAAGGGGAGATGCTGCTCTGAATACAACGGGACGTATCTCGATGGTCGAGACAGATTTTATTTTCTTCGCCGAACTCGGTTTCTCTTCCTATACGAACGGAATATGAATCTACTTCTACTTTTTGTGAACTTGTGCTTGCACTTCCTTTCTTATATACTAAATCCGTTATCTATTTCGGGAAAATGTAATATCATCGATGTGTCGATTCGGTCCAAGAGGTGCCACTGCGACTAACATAAGAGATGTTTTTAACATCTCGCATTACGAAATTCATGTGATCGATTTGCACGGCATTGGGATAAAAATCCAAGAGTGTCGATCGCTTTAGCTGTCAACCGATTCGCGATCGCTGCAGTACCGTGCTTTGGCGACGATCGCAGCAGATGCCCGCGGCGTTTACGTATGCAAATGCTTATAGCGGAATTTCTGCTGTCGCGCATTATGCATCGAACTGCGTCGGGGTCACGTCGACGTACCGGCGGAACTTCCGACAGACAAGACGGACCGTTGGAAATGCATGGCAAACAATCCGGTAATGCGCAACGCTTCGCGAAACGTAGACGCCTACACGCTGCTCGTACAAATCACTCGAGCGATTATTTCGGCAGTGTTACATCTCCGTCGTCAGTTACAGACCGTCAGAAATTTCCGTGGTTGGTTTTCGAACGCTCGCCTACGGCTACTGATGTCGAAGTATCCCTCGGGAACTTTATCCCTAGAGAATCGATTGTTGTTTGCTAATTTAGACGCGGATCCAGGTAGAACTTACCTAATGGAAATTTTCTCTATACGTATAGTTGTCTTTAAATTTGCAAAGTAGATTGCTTGATTAAAAAAAATATTAAACTTGTTCATCGATTATGTCGGATTAATTTTTTCGCTGCCAGCATTTTATTCAACTATTAAAAAAAAATAAATCGTGTATTTTCTTTCAAAATTTTTTTATTTGCGTTCAATATTTTCGTTTAATTGAATGTACGTAATACCTAATTGAAAGGAATTTTCTGGAGGATCAAAATTGGAGCGCTGCCAGAATCAATTCTGTTGATTATTTTTATTAAATCCTATTGAAACTCTTGTTGGAGAACGTGAATGAGGAAAAATCCTGCTTCCCTGGTTCTTCTCTACGGTTTTGATCGACCAATTCTATCGAACGTGTAGATTAATATTTTCATAAAAACGGAAGTTAGTTGAGTTCTTTGCACAGCGCGCGCGACTCTGTCATTTATGCGGAGCACGCACGCGCGTCCTCCGAGTACACTCCTTGAGCGAAATTCTATTTACAAATCCTCCGCTGTCCGCGGTCATAAATCGTTTCTACTTCTAAGGACCGTCCGGGATCGCGTGCCGCGTGTCCAATATTAAGTTGCCTATGGAGATGGGCGATGGCCCTATTAATATGGCGCACGAAGCGCATGGCGATCGTTTACAGTGTGCCGCCTAGTGCATGTCCTAAAGCTTGGAAAATCCCTCGGAGAAGAGAGGAAACTTTGGCTTTATATCCAGGGGCGCCGATAGTAAGCTGCTTTCCCTACGAGTTATATACGAGCAAGAGATACTGCTTCAAGTTTCCAAGCGAACTAAGGATCTCCTAATGGATACCCTCGGGTTCTAATTATTAAATGAGCACGATGCATGCGGTGGGGTTTCCCGATAGCTTTCGCGAATGAAACGAGTAAATTTTTTATATAAGATATTTTAAGATAATTATAACATATTAATTTTATCGTTATCAGTTGATTATGTTTTATTCTCACGGATAACAACGATAAATGGATTCGAATTTTAATTATAAAGAAATATTTGCAAAGGAAGCTATATATATATATATATATATATGTATATATATAATTGGATTGTATCGATAAAATGGCCAAACAAAGGCGTTGAATGTCAATTTTTTGGCGCTAAAAGCTATCGCGAATTACGTTTATTTTCGTTTAGCGCAATTTCACGCAACGCGGTCGTCAGCGAGATATCTTGGCACGGTATGCGGCAATGCGGACGCTCAGAGACGAACAGGATGGCTTGGCGCCGTTGTTTCGTGTACACGGAAACGCGCGGCCACTCCGGAAGGAGAGGAAACCTCGAGTTTGCGGCGTAGGCAGCGGACAGTAGTGCGGAACATTGTAACATCGGCTTTCGTA